TAGTGAGAGCTATTCAACTGCATCAAAAACTTTTCACCTTGCACTTCCCTGTGACCTTGACCTCCCTTCTCTTTAATTTGTATTTTGCTTAGTTTTAAAGAAACAATCTAAGATATTTTTATGCAAGCATGCACTTATACATAATTTGGTGAGAATTTATCATCTATATCCATTTTTTTTTAGATTTCAGTTTCAATTTTGAAGAAACTGTTCAAGATATTCTCATCAAACTTCATACACTCATACGAATTTTCATTTTGCATTAGTAATATGCATTCGGCGGGGCATTTATGTCCTATGGACATATTTCTAGTTTTCAAATCATGACCCCCAAGGATAGGGTCAGGCCACAATAAGGGATCAAAGTTTTATAGAGATTTAAAAGGAAAAAATATCTTCAAAATTCTTCTTTTTAAGAACAATAAAAGCATGATTAATATGGAAAAATTCCCAAGAAGTGTAGATTCAAGTTTGTACAAATCATGACCCCATGGGTTATGGAGAGACCCTTTTTTTCTGCCCCTATTTTCTATCCACATAGAAATGCAAATTTTAAAACCATTTTACACATTCACAGGACAAAATCAATCATCTTCCAAATGATCATGATTAAAGGCTAGTGCATAAAATATAAGGGAAGTTCTGGGAACCAGGATGTTTAAACATGTTAAATATTTTTTTTTTTAAATTTGACCCCCATTTGACCCCCAGGGACACCACCAACCATCTCCCAAAAGTTGATTAGGCTACATGTACTGTGTAAAATGTAAGAGGAGTTTTGGGAACCAGGGTCTTTTGCATAAAAAACGTTATTTTTCGACCCCTGTTTGACCCCAGGGTGAAAATAAAAATTCGGAAACCTTACTGCACATCTACAGGAACACGACCATCCATCTCCCAAAAGATGATAAGCCTACTGTGTAAAATGTAAGATGAGTTCTAGGAACCAGGGGCTTTTTTGCATAAAAAACGTCATTTTTTTTTTTACCCCAATTGGACCCCCCGGGTGAAAATGAAAATTCCGAAACCTTCTAGCACATTTCCATGACACCATCAACCATCTCCCAAAAGACGATTAGGTTACTGTGTAAAATGTCAGAGGAGTTCTGGGAACCAGGGGCTTTTTGCATAAAAAACGTCATTTTTCGACCCCCATTTGACCCTCCGGGTGAAAATGAAAATTCCGAAACCTTACTGCACATCTACAGGACACCACCAATCACCTCCCAAAAGATGATTAGGCTACTGTGTAAAATGTAAGAGGAGTTTGAGAAAGAAGAGTGTGACAGACGGACGGACGGACAGACATGAGTAACAACAATATACCCGAACTTTCTTTAGAAAGTGCGGGTATAATTATAGAATAATAGTATTTGTAAATGGGTACTTATCAGGAAAAATATCTTGAATATTTTACAAACGTGTTTTCATTCTATCTGCAATATATCTCATAATATTTGAATTTTTCCTCATTGGAGGTATGTATAATATGTTCCTGGAAAGAGAACCAACATATTTTTATTTCAAAAACGGTTATGTGCATGAGTTTTCTCATCATGCATATACATTTCTGTAGATATATCTATACTTCAGTGGAAAGCATTGAGTATATATATTGAAATGATCAATGACCTGATTTCATTCCACTTAAAAATGGAGAAGAACTTATGTATGGAACACCCTGATTCAATTTTAATTTCTCATCTTCTCTTTAAAGTTTGTTCCGGATTTATGATTTGTTTTGCATAGGTTCATGTTCACAATATGATCATTAAAGTCATGAACATTTATGACCTTAAGATTATCCATTTCATTGTTTATCGTCATATATTAAAGTAATATGAAATCACCTTTTGATAATAAAAATGATAAAAAGTTATCTTTAACCTTTTTCATTCATTATTTACATCTCTCAAAATAAAATTATTCTTGTATGTTTAAAGACGAAAATTTAGACCATCTGCAATACTACACTTAGAAAATATCTATGTCGTAAGTTAGGGTTAACCCACTTTTGTATATCTATATTAGTTAATATGTTATGTTAGGAAGGTCCTCATTATTACTTCCTCCTTTTCTTATCAATAACCCATTCCTTTTATATTTGTACCCTGTGCTACAGAATCCAAGAATATAATTAACCCTGTTTATACGAGGCTTGTCCCAAAAAGTCGTAGTCAATGTTTATAACTTTGTTAACATTCAACCAATACATACCAAATTTGCATAGCCATAATTTGTTAAATGTTCCTTACAATAGTGAATTCTTCAGTATATATCTTTCATAGTCATAATATTTTGACGAATTATAGGAGGGCTGATTTATTCTTTCGGGGCACAAACAAAATCTGGAAAAATTCACAAATGTAACTAATCCAATCGTATGTGTTTTTCTGGTAATATGTAGAGTATAGAACTCAAGTTTATATTAGTAAAATCAAAAGCAAAATCTTAGTAATTTATCCATTTTTTCACAAAATGGCGTCAGAGACAGAGGATTCGTGTCGTAATTTTTGTTGTTGGAATTGAACGTGCTTCAAATGACGTTGTCTAACGTACTAGAGGCGCACGGGGGGGGGGGGGGGGGGAGGTAAAAAAAATGTTTTAAATGTGGATTGTTAACTTCAGAGACGGAAATTTTTTTAGAAATGACATTACACACTTGAACAGTAGCAGAGTTGTTGATAAATGGCATTAGAAATTCAAGGACATTTTTCACCTCTCTATCGAATTAAGTTAGGCCTATAAGAAGTAGACTACTGTTTGTTAAATACAGACGGTGAGGAATGTTATGGGACACCATCGACATCAAACTTGTGTATTTTTTGCTTTCCACAAAAAACTACCCTTCGAAGACTGAATTGAATGGTGAATATGAGTCCCTCAGTCAAAAGCGGTTTGCCATTTTAAGAAATAAGCACATACAGGGCAATACTTTTAAAATGATCATGCCGTTATAAGAGACGTCAATTACGCTTGATTTCATGCGAATATGTACCATTATATGCTGTCTTCATTTGACATTGTTTTCACAAATGAGTCGTTATCACGAAACTTTAAATTCATGAAAATAAAATATTGGTTTTTGCTATGACAAGAAAAGAATTTCAATTTAGCAAAGAGGAACTAAATTGTTTTCCCTATCTACGACTTTTTCAGACAACCCTCATACTTTTTATGATAATGCAATAAATACATGTATGTTTGTTTAAGCAGGGTTCATAGTGCTAGAATTGTTGGTGAAATCATTACTAAACAATTTTGTACAGTTTTGCAAAGAACTGTGTGTCATACTTAAAATTAACGTAATCGTTATCGATCGAAAGTTTTGATGTAATTAGACTTAAAGTGTCATTAAGGACTATAATTGAATCTGGTTAAAGATATATGTATTATAATTGAACATCAATTTTATAAACACAAAAAAAACTAAAATAAAAACACAAAACAAAACAAAACAAAACTTCTAATTATTAAAAAAGATAATTACATAAAAAATGACATTGTGATAGAATGGCTGAGATTTCAGACGATATGTACAGGTGGTGATGATGGAAGACGTGCCTCTAAAGAACTAATCCTTAATTCAAGATATGGTCTCCAAAACTAAACACTTATCTTTTTAGAGCATATATGTCACATGTAAATTTACTGTACATTAAAACTTTCGACATTATGAACCTGACGTCTACTTATATCTTTAAACCGCTACAATATCAGGACACTTGGACTGTCGCTAAAGAAAAAGCAATACGAATGATAAACCGACTATCACTCATATCTCTTGCTGTCGCCACATTTTCAGGTAAATTAAATTGCAATAATTTAACTGTGTAACCAGTGTAAGTAATTAAATGTTTCAGTTTCAATGTTTTATTTTCTAATTATTTCTGTTGTGTGTGTTTACGTTTGTGTTGTCATGTGTGAATGTCCACGTGTGAGTATTTATGTTTACTAGGTGTGACGTATTTGACCATTTCCGGTTTGACCAGTTCTATTTCTATTAATAACTTTTTACTAACTTTCCTGCGACTAAATGTTTTCCATGCACACTCGGCGCTACACCCTTTACGGGGATAGACGTTATATTGTATTAGAGCTGATTAACAAGTGGTGCTTGGTAAATATATTTATTTTATATACATATTTCTTATTATCTTTGTAATTAAAAGTAAAGTCATCAAGTATTTGTAAATGTTTATTAATTATTATGACTTTATTTCAGGTTTTTCTTATATATATATTACAATAATTAAAATCTTGGTCAAACCTTACTACTGACTTGTGTCTTACTGAAGAACCTGGAATCTACCGACATGGTCTACAACTGTATTAAAAAAATAATCAGTATGTATTTTTGAAAGACGTTCCCTATATTTCAGAATTTAGATGAATGCAAATATGTTGAAGAGCTGACAATAGTAGTGTGATGAATTGTTTGTGTTTCCAAGAAATTCTTTCGTTTTCTTTTCAAAATTAACTTTAAACATGGTTAATCACACTTTGTTCTTTTTGGGGGATTGGATATGTGGCGGCCGACTGTCCAGACAACTGGAGAGGGTTTTCGGGAAATTGTTATCTTTTCCTCACCCACCTTCCCATGGATTGGCAAAGTGCGTGGGAAAGTTTCCCTCCGTTTTCTTTAATCATGAGTTTATTTTCAAAATATAGAAATCTTTAAAAAGTGATCTTCGAAAATGCTGTAATGTTTTATTACCGATTTAGTTATTCAATTTACTAATGCATGTGTATTATTTCATCACTTACTGCAATAAAAGAATAATTTGAACACTTTACTGCACTCAGGTTACTCTGAAGAATTATTTGATATCTATTTTTTGTCATGCTCTAACTTTTGTTAAACACACCTCTGCAGCTTTTTTAAATCCCCATTTGTCATGATTATCATTAATGCATATAAATGCATATAAAGCAATGCATGTGCGTACCTAATCATTGATATGCCTTTGCTTAAAACAGGACTACTGTGAGCACAGAGGTGCAAATTTAGTAGAAATTGAAACTTTCTCTGAGGACAATTTTATCAAACAAAACGCAAAGGATTTTCATTTTCATGGTAAGTGTTTATTAATAATTAAAATAAGTTTCAGAACAGGCTTTATGATGTTTATAAAACGTTTCCATGGGAAGCAAATGACTGCATTGTTAATTATCTTAAATAAACGTAATACATCTGTTCCAAATATTTCCCTAAATACCGCTAGAAAGTCTGGATAGTTGATTAAGTGTTTGAAAGAAAACACCTTCAAATAACAATCTGCGTGAAAAAAAATTCATTCAAACTCAGACTTTGGCTTAGATTTTTGCAGGCCATTGCTTCACAAACGTCTGATTTGTTAAGGAAGCAAGATGTGATGAATCCTGGTTGCAACTTTGGATAACTATAAACTTTATGAAATCTGAATATTTCGTAATTCTAAAAGACGATCGTGACATACCTTTTAGAAAATTTTGTAGGTATCTATCGGGTATGTCAAAAAATATTTAGATTATATATCATTTTGATGGCTTGAGATTTTGAATTGAACTTTTTAAAGAATGTATTTAAGCTTAAAGACATTAAAAATAATATATGGGATACAATGTAGCATCTTTTATGTTTTTTCCATAGACTGCTTTTGGTTGGGTGGATCTTATGCAGAGCTCCCAGGAGTTTGGATGTGGGCCACATCAGGAACAATGTTTACGTATACCAACTGGGGACCAGGAGAGCCAAATCACTATCATTCCGATAATGAGCACTGTTTGGATCTTTATTACTATACCGGATATAAAACGTACTTCTGGAATGATAAATTATGTGAAGAACATTGCCATCCTATCTGTGAACAACCGTATGGAAATAACTTCTTTTCCCCATATTTATTAGGTCTTTCCACCTTTCTGTGGAAAGACCGATTGGAATTTTTATGTTTATTATTGTTATTTTTCCGCCAAATATTTTTTTGATTTTCAAGATTTATAGTCCATGAAAATGTACTACGTAAAAGATTTTGCAGTTGACAATGCGTATATGAACTTTGACCCCTCGAGTAGTTATAACCCCTTTAGCAATAAAACCTTTTTTCCCCTACTCCTTCGAAACCGTAAACCGTAGAGAAATGAAACTTTCACTAATGTCTTCGACTAATTTAGAAGACTCTTCAATCTCTATTCACCGTTCACGGTAGCCGAATCGGTAGCGCGCTCGCTTCGTGATCGGGAGGTCATAAGTTCGAATGGGTAGCAACTGTTCCTTCGCCATGCGCTCGGCACTTTGAAGTGAAAGTTGCAAGTCCTTCGGATGAGACCTTAAAAACCGAGACCCCGTGTCACGGCAGGCGTTGGCACGATAAAGATCCATCACTGCTTAATGGCCATGAGTGCCGAGTCAAGGTCAAAATTTGAAGCCCTTCACCGGTATATGGTGACATCAACTAGATATACATGTACCATTTTGGAAAAGATTGATTTGTTGTCTTAACGTATTTTTGGTTTGTTTGTTTGTTGTTTAACGTCCCTCCCCAGAATATTCAAATACTCAAATATAGACGCCGCCACTTGCCAGTGGAGGGCTATACTCGGCACTTAAGGCCATTGAGCAGGGAGGGATCTTTTCGTGCCATCATTTACTGCGACATGGGATGTTGGTTTATACGGTCTCATCCGAAGGACCGGTCTCCACGTCCCACAGTGGGATTCGAACTCGCGACGAAGGATCAACTCCTTACTCGGCAACTGTAGAGCAGATGCTCTAACACTGCAACACGCGGTGGACTCTTGAAATGTAATTATTTCTTTGTTTTCATCAAAAATGCTTTTCTTTTGAAAATATGTTTTAATTTTCTTCTGTAGGAGTAGCTCAGGGGGTTCAATATTTGGACGAAGATAGAGGATGCGTATGATACTTTACCAAAAGTTAGATATTTAACCAGTTTTGATAAATAAAATCATCAAACTTAACCAGTTACTCTATTTTCTCCAAGCGATACAATGTAAAAAATGATTTAGCATGCTCAGTTTGATAAACTTTCATTTCTCTTTATTATAATTACTGTTTTGCTAAGTATGGCATGAATGTAATGTGGAATCTAATATTACTATCTCGGAACAGGGAATCACTTCATTAAATTGTTTCAAATCCCACAGGACTGTCAATTATTTTGACAGAAATCGACCTACGTGTTTCTTGGTAACTATTTTATTGTGTTGATGATAAATTACGAACTCCAAAGTTGATTTCATGAGAGACGAGGCATGTTTGTGAAACACTAAAGATCCCTTATCTCACCTTTTCGCAAAGATAAATATTTTTTTTAAAAACAAGCTTAAACTCCAAGGTCATGGTGCCAAAGTAAAAAAAGAGTTTGTACTCAAAAAAGGACTTGTCACAAGGAAAACATAAGGAAAATACGAAAAGCCCTAGCACTTACGGTTCAAAAGTTATAACTAATGTTAAAGTTTAATTTGATTGAACTCCTAGGTTGACGTCATGAGGTCAAAAAACTCTTGAAGAAACATACATGTAAAGTATGAAACCTTAAGCCTTAATTAAAACCGTTCAAAATTTATAACATTGTTTAAGTTTTTGTTGACAAAAAGACGGAAAGCCAAAAAACTATAGGCTCTGGAATTTCCTACAAGAGTACCATAAAACAAATAATTAAATTTGAATTTTTGTTTATCTTCGTCATTCTATCCCATATCTTTCAATGTTAATTTAACAACTTCATCGGCACGTGTTTACTTCCATTACCATTAAGAAAAAAAATACACAAATTAAAAATCATAATTAATTTAATGTTTTAGACCGTTATATACCGTATAAGTACGTCATGAATATTGATGCCCTAGTGATCAAAGATTCGGGGGTAGATAGTTTTTTGCCCTGTCCGTCCGCCTGTCTAGCTGTCTATTCGTCTAGCTGTCTGTTTGTCCGCAAAAACTTTAACCTTGCCCATAACTTTTGAGTGGTTGGGGCTATAGCTTTCATATAACAGGTGTATTTCTTGTGAAAACACCTTTCTTTGGGTATCAATATATTTGACCTCCTGACCTTAACCTTGGGGTTTGACTAACTTTTGCAAAAATTAATAAACTTTAACCTTGTTAATAATTTTGGAACAGTTGATGCTAGGTCTTTCATACTTCGCATGTGTATTTATTGTGACAAAAACTTTCAATGGCTATAAATATTGTGACCTTGATCTTAAAGTTTGATCTTATTTTGAAAAACTTTAACCTTGACCATAACCTTCGAACAGTTGGTGCTAAGACTTTTATATTTCACATGTATATTTCTGATAACAGGGCCTTCTCCTCATTGTCACTATTTCTCACACTTTTGCCGTGACCTTGGAGTTTGACACTTTTATAAAAAGTCCTTTAAAAAGTCCTGTATATAAATTTTGAATGGCTAGTGCCTGGGCTTTCATTTTTTACAGATATATTAATGACACAGGTCCTTTGTTTAGGTAGCAACATTCTTTATCTCTTGACCTTAGAATTTTACTTGAATTGGAGAAAAATTAACCCTCGCCATAAGCTGCCATACGGGGACATCAGTGTTTCACAAACTCATCTTGTTTCCTGCTGTGATTACAGTCAATCATGCCTGTTTGAACCAAAATGGACATTTTATTAATGATTTTTTATCTGAAAAAAAAATCATATAAGACAAATTAAAGTGTGTAAAATATTGTATATTTCATTCGTAATCATAACTTTCATAGAAGAGCTATACCACAGTTGATCCTTTAATGATTCTTTCTAAATCTGTTTTTGTGATGGCTAAGTATAGAAGTGGAAGATGTTTTTTAATAGATCAGGCGCATATTTTTCTGCCAAAAAATAAAGGAAAAAATAATCATTACTTGAAAATCTATTTTACGAACAGTAATCGTTAGTTACTCCTTTCTTGTGATCAATTCATGTTGCAGGTGTATCTGTGTACGTTTTGATATAAATAAAACCTATAATTAATATTAAAACCGAAATTTCCTTATCAAATGAGTCTTATCTTTCATTCTCCCCAAATCCTCATTTTTTTTTTCTCTACTGAAATCAATTTTTTTTTAAAACCATGAAAAAAGAAATCCCCTTTAAATGAATATAAATGTACTTTAGTATTACCATTAACAAATTCATTCGAATGTAAAAAAAAATCTAAATGAAAGAGGCTAGGATAAAAACCCTAATTGCCATTACAATTATCGTATGATCTTACACAACAACGTATATTGACATATAGATTGTATATAGCCGGATGTTTTGTCTGTTGCATGCTGGAGATGGTCCTTTGATGTGAGAAGTTTAGGTCTAATTTTTTTTTTCAAATAAAATTTTTCAAACCCATAAACACATTTTGCATTGTTGCAAATGTATATAAAATAGGTGATGTATAAACATATTAAGTAATCAAAAGGCCAAATTTAAAAGATAAAGAAGCCCTTTTTCTTCCAATTGTCATTTCAGACAAATTTTATGACATCATCTGTAGGGATGCCCTACCATTAATACTTTTATCACCAAGTTATACTTATGTCTCTTATATCCTAGAGTTACAAAATCTTAACAGAGACCAAACAATTGTTATCAAAAGCGCCGATAAAATAAAAATTATGTATATATTTTATGTTTATAGAAGTTATTTTGTCTTCTTGTTTCATTCATATTGTATCAAATTTATTTTGTCACAGCCAGATAATTTCCCCCTTAAAGCCCCTTTACACTCGTTATGTTACATAACTCAGACTCACTTTAGCATCCTTTTGTGACGTCATTGCTTATATCGAATTCATTGCTGGTGCGTGCTTCCAAATATCTATTGTTTATATTTTGATTTTATCCTTCCGATACCGTTTTTCTTGCCTCATCATGTAGATACTTTTTACTACTGGATGTGAATGCTATTTACGTATATATTGTGTGGATCTGTGTTCGTTATATGACAAAAATTGTGTTTTATGTTACTGGAAAATTTCCATTTCTTCGAAATATGGCGTCAAGACGCAGGTCTAAGAACTCGATTGATTCTACTAATCCTGCAAACTGGACAAATGCTCAGTTAAAAACGACTTTAAAAGACTTGGGAATCAACATTTCTATTCCCCTGAATAATAATCAATTGAAGAAATTGTACGAAGACAATAAAGAGAGACAACCTGTGTTAGCAGAAAATAGTGCCAATGCCAGTAATCAAAGGGACAGTGAGAACTCCGCCAGTGTCGTAAATTCTTACGCTGTGATTAATGCAGGAATTGTGTCGCAAACAAGCTTTTCTAGTAATGAAAATCAGGAATCTATAACCGCCATGCCGCCAACGACCCAATCACTACTTCGTAGCTCGCGGAAAGATACATCGCTATCGCAGCCAACTTCCGCTCAGGGCAGTTCGCAGCCAACTTCCGTCCAGGGCAGTTTGGAAGTCCTTGGAAACCATGCTAAGTTAGAGAGCGCTCTTGTCAACACGCTGCAACTTTGTCAGCAAACTTTGCTACAAGTGACTCGAAAAAGCGAGCCTACTTCCAATTTCAGTCTACAGTCGGCCATGGCAGCATATCAGACGCAGGCTAGCGCGTTTCCCCCGAAGCCATACCCCGTACTTACCAGCACTGACACAATTTAGATGTCTAGACCATCTTTCGGTGTACCAGCGACATCGATCACCGACATCGATATTATTTCCCCAGAAGTACGCCAACAGATCGTAGCAGGTAAAGATGTAAATTTAAACACTTTACTTATTCCAAACTACGAAACACTTGTAAAAAAGAAAACACAAGAGAAAGATGAGAGGTTACAAAGAGTCCTCTCCTCAGATGAGTTTATAATGGCCTTTGGCAATTATAAAAGAATTATGTGTTCAGCATTTTCATCAAGGGCGGAAGAGCTAGATTTGTACCTTGCTCATGTTATCGAAACAGCTAATATTTGGCCACACAAATTTTATGAGTACCACAAAATGTTTTCGGCTAAATGTGCTACTATGCTTATCCAATACAACGTTAAAATTGACTGGTCTAAGGGCGATATTGAGTTGAGACAGAAAATTTGTGCAGGTTCCCGTGTTAATTCTTGTGCCAAGTGTTACTCGACTATGCATTCTACCAACATGTGTCCATCAAAATCTCAATTTCACACAGGCCCGGGTAAAGCTGATACCCTTGGACGTGAAATCGTATACCATAACGGCCAACAAGTTTATAATAACTTCAATTGGGTGCAAGGTTGTTCTAAGCCTTACTGCAAATATGTTCATGTCTGTAAACAATGCAAGTCTAAAAATCATGGCAGAAATCAGTGTCCAACTAAAAATAAGGAGTCATCCAATACTAAACCAAAGCAACAGAATCAAAAACCAGTTACTGGTACTGAAAATCAATCATGACTAGCCTCTACTTCAATAAACTATAATCAGCTGAGACTAGAATTAAAAAATCATCCTGATAAAGAATTTTCAACACTGCTTTTTAACAGTATTCAACATGGTTTTGATATGCTAGTTTCCGAGTTTGATCTTGTTTCATTTGATGTAAAAATGCATTATCTGCGAGGAGAGATCCAGAAACTGCTAGAAAGCTGATCAAAGATGAAATTGTCAAAGGCTTTGTAAATGGTCCGTTCGACGAACCTCCATTTCCTGTTTACAGAGTCAGTCCTACTGGTATTGCTACTCATAAATATTCAGCTAAAAGAGACTTATTCTTGAGCTCTCCTCCCCGCATAATCAAGACAAGCATCTCAGTGTAAACGATCTTATTGATAAAGATTTATGCTCTCCGCAGGTACGTTAAGGCTTCCCAGAGAATATTGCAGTGTACTCAGTGCCTTCAGTTCTCTGAACTACAAATATATGACGTCATACTTGAAAATGACGTCAAGTCACTGCAAACTTGAGCTGTTATGATGGGGAGAGTGTCATAAACTTTACACCTTATTTTAATCTGCATATAAAGTGTCAGAAAGCAAGTGTAAAATAAACATGTTTAAATCAATTTTTTTTAAATCTTATATATCCGAATACTTTAGATAACTTTGGTTTATTACTCTTGTTTAAAAGTCAGCGTGTTTAAAATATATACGAAAATATACGTTTGACATTAACCCTTTTCATACCCGTGGATAGAAGTAGAATTTATAATATGTGTATAAAACAGGCTGGCGCAGGTGATTAATGAGGATTTATTTGAGATCTTTTGTGGAAATCTGTAAGAGGAGTTTCCTCCCTAACTGAATCTTGCTTAGGAAATATGTGTGATGGCTTTGTTTTAATACAGATGACGATATTGAGTGGAAAATACCCTCAAATCTGTCGGTAATTTGAATTTATTGTGAAATATTTTGTACCAGAGTAATAGTATAACTTTTCCCAAGCACATTTCGGGTTCACAAGGATGTGATGAGTTTATTTTGTGACAAAAAATTACCAATTATTATGTTAATCAGCTGCGCCGAAGCGATTTATGTGAAACACGTCAAAAAAGTAGAAATGACCGTCACGTGATCAACGTGGTCATGTGATATCGTAACAAATACCTTTATGTATAGCCTAAGGAACTCTCTATATAAATTGGCCATACTAAAGTACATAACTTACAATTAAAACTCAGAATCTACCTTGCAATGTAGTGTTATGTTTTGAATGCATTTAAAGCTTCGGGAAGCCTTAACATTGCCGCGTCTGTCCTACATCAAATTAGACGATGCAATCCAAGTTATTCAAGAATATGGTCAGTACAGCATATGCTGTAAAGTAGACATCTCCGATGCTTTCAAGCAGTTGCCTGTTACTCCATCGCAATGGCATCTCTTTTGTTTCAAATGGGAAAACATATACTACAAATTATGTTCGATTACCGTTTGGCTGCCGTTCCAATCCCAAACTTTTTTACATGTTATCTCAAAGTATTTGTTGGATTGCAAAACACAGTTACAACATCAATGTAATTTTTCATTTGCTTGACGACTTTCTGACCATAGACAAACCAGGTTATTGTGGGGAAAGAACTATGTCTCAATTAACTTTAATATTAATAACAAGCTGAAAATACCTCTATCGTCTAAAAAAACAGTTGGCCCTACATGTGAATTGGAAGATCTTGGAGTGATATAAGACACAGTGAACATGCAAGCTCGTTTGCCAAAAGACAAAATAGTAAGAATTATCGACTTCATTAAAACAATGTTCAAAAAACCTCCTTGTACAAGAAAAGAGCTTGAACAACTTCTAGGACATTTGAACTTTGCAAGTCGTGTTATCTTACTTGTACAATTCAATGTCGACTGTAAAAGAAAGTTACCATCATGTTCACCTTAACAAAGAATGTAAAGCTGATCTGACAATGTGGTTGGAATTCCTTACTAACCGGAATGGAATTAACCTTTTTTATGACAACAAACTGACCTTAGCATCTCAAATTTCTTTGTTTACCGACGTTTCATCGTCTATTGGTTTTGGAGGTTTTTTCTCCAATAAATGGTTTTATGACAAATTGCCCCAAGAATTACCTGCAATTGAGGATTACTCAGCGTCTATGGCATTCCTCGAACTTTTTCCCATAGTTGTTGCAGCAGTTCTATGCATATGGGGAAATCAGTGGTCCGGTAAAAAGATCCTCTTTAAATGTAATAACATTGCTACAGTGTACATTATTTAAAAAGGTCGATCCAAAGAACCTTGTATCATGAAATTAATGAGACGCTTAACTATGTGTGCTGCCATAAACAATTTTGCTGTCTTTAGTGAACATGTTCCCGGTGTTTAAAAACTCTATATCCGATGCTTTATCTCGTTTTCAGATAAAGAAATTCCGACAACTGGCGCCGCATGCAGAGGAATTATTAACGCCATGTCCACCACTATCCGAGATTCTTTGGACTGCTCAATAGACAATCTCTGGACTCATGCTTTATCCCGGGCAACTTTAACTGCCTATGAATCAGGTATGGACTCCTACATAAAGTTTCTTCTACTTCATGGCACAACATGGGATGATGGAAGTCTTCCACCCATTACAGAAAGGCTACTTATGCGCTTTGCAGCTTTTTGTGATGAACATAAACAAATTAAACATTCTACAATCAAACTTTATTTGTGTGGAATCAGATTCTATTATTTAAAGCATGGTGGTTTCAACCCAATGTTCGTAGATGGAAAACCACTTCGCAGCTATGTTAAGGCTTCCCGAAGCTTTAAAATGCGCTCAAAACATAATATGTCATTGCGAGGTCGGTTTTGGTTTTAATTTATAAGTATTGAACTTTAGTACTTCCAATTTATATAAAGGGTTTCCTCGGCTATATATTAGCATATTTGTTATGATATCACATGACTTTGTTGATCACGTGACGGTCATTTATAATTTTTTGAAGTGTTTCATATAAATCGCTTCGGCGCAGCTGATTAACACAATAATTATTAACATTTTGTTATATAAATAAACTCATCGTATCCTTGTGTATCCAAAATGTGCTTGGGAAAAGTCGTAGTATTACTTGGGTACAAAATATTTCCTGAGAAATTCAACTTACCTACAAATTTGAGGGTATATTCCACACAGTATCGTAATCTGTATTAAAACAAAGCCAACAAACATTTTTCCCAAGCAAGATTCAGTTCGAGAACAACCTCTTCTTACAGATTTCCACAAAAATTCTCAGATTAATCCTCACTAATCACCTGCACCAGACTCTTTTATACACACAAAATAAATTCTACCTCCAACCACGGGTATAAAACAGAGTACATTTCAAAAGTATATTTTTCATAAGCATTTTGAACATGATGAATTTCAATCAAGGGTAGGTAAGCGGTGTATTTTTAAAATATTCGGACATATAAGACTTAAAAAACCTTTAACGACCCGTGAATTTTGCAATAGCTATCTAGCATTTTACATGCAGTTTGAAATAAAGTGTAAAGTTCATGACACTCTCCCCGTCATAACACCTCAAGTTTGCAGTGACCTGACGTCATTTTCCATTATGACGTCATATTTTGGTAGTTCAGAGATGTGAAGGCACAGAGTGCACTGTCATATTCTACGGGAAGCCTTAACCTACCTGCGTTGTGTGTTTAAAAACAATCTTAATGGGTATTAAAAAGAAACAAGGATCCACTAGTAAACGTGTTCGTTTACTTATAACCATGCCCATATTGTCACAGACGTGCAATTTATTAAAAATGTCAGTATTTGGTTATTTCAATAGCATCATGTTAGAAGCTGCTTGTGTTGCAGCTTTTTTGGTTTCCTTAGGTGTGGAGAATATTCAGTGTTTAATCAGTTTCTCTGATTGTCATCTATGCTTTAGTGATGTTCAAATCAGCACTGAATCTGTTTTTATTACACTTAAGAAGTCTAAAACTGACCTCTTTAGGCAAGATATAACAATTCCTTTTTATAAAACAGGTTTTTCTGTATGTCCAGTGCTTTCTATTTGTAGATATTATAATTTAAGGCAGTCTTTGATCTCAGTAAACACTGAAGCTTTTTTTGTAACCGAGGACAGAAAACCTTTATCTAGACAATTTTTTATAATGCACATCAAGATTCTTTTAGAGAAATTAGGTTTAACCAGTAATAGTTATAATGGTCACTCCTTCAGAATCGGAGCAGCAACAACTGCTCATGAAGCTCGACTTGAAGACTATCTGATTCAAACCTTAGGTCGATGGTCATCAGATTGTTATGTTAGGTACATACATACATCTCCCAACATTATCAAAGATGCTCAGATTCCACTTGCTCAGACAGACACAACACTTTTTCCAGCTTGATTAGATTTGTACTGGCAACAAAGGTTTTTATGGGAACCTGGGGGCTACATCTGCTCTGCATATGTATTTGGCCAATTCGTTACAAATTTTTGTAAAATTTTTGTACTCATCCCCCAAGTTTTTTAAGGTTTTGTATATATTATTTACGAAAGGGGGATAACTTTTAGAAAATGTTCTTTTGTTTTTCATCCCCCTAGTGAATTGTTACCAAAGGGGGATAACTTTTATTAAATGTACTCTGTTTCTCATTTATTAAATGTACTCTGTTTCTCCTCCCCCATGTTTCAAATTGTCTTTATAAGGGGGATAACTCATTTTAAATTCGTAATTGCAGAACAGTTGTAAGTTCCCAGTTTTCCAAATTGTATGTTTGTTAATTGTAGTGTGTAGATGTTTTATTTGCTTGTGTTGTATATAATAAATTAGTTTATTTAAGCAATATCTTGTTTTGTATCAGTCTCAGCAGTCAAGATCATTGCATATCAGACAGCTATGTTATGAACAATAACTAGTCTATAAAGGAGGGACTATAGTAATTATGGACAGAGAACACTATAAAGAAATGTCCCTATCTCAACTCCAGGATAGTCAGTTCTATGAAATTTGAAGTTAACGAACAGTATTCAATCTCGAAAGTCCTATGAAACGATACAAATTTGGAGCAGAGCAAATTTTACTGTTTTGAACGCCCGGTCAGCCTTTTATCTATAGTTCTAAACAACAAAAATGCCAAAGTTCAACAATATGCCGTATACTTTGAATCATACTTTTTATCCATATGAAGAACTTGTGTTCTAAAGCATTTGGAAAATGCTGGTAGAATCGTGTAGCTAACATAAATTAATAATCTATTCAACTATTAATACAAAATATAAAACGTTTGGGGGAGGTGGTGGGTATGCGAAAATGTGGAATGATTACTGCTGGGACAGTAGAGTAGGATATTATCAGAATTTTTATGGCCTAGAGATGTTTTTACATAATTATTTTCAAAGACAGAACTATGGTATCCCTAGGTAGTGTTCAATTCTTGATATTTTCATAAAGGCATATTTTTTCTATTTATAGATGTCATGTGATGACATCGTAATGGAGTGCTTCTCTAAGCCGTATACATATTGTCTTCAATACAATGGGTAAAAATAATGTGTTTTATCCACGTCTTTTCTGATTTATAAGTGCAATGTATACGATAGTGTAAATATACCGAATATTGATCTAGCTACTGCCTGAACGTACATTCCGTTTGCCTGAAACGCAAGGCGGGTGTGGTCAGTCAACAGGGCTGCTAACTCCTCCATGTAGCACCTGATATCATCTTTGACGTTTTTAGAGGTCTGTGTTTGCTCTGCTCCAACTCTGTATTGTTTTAATGGACTTTTGAAATTGATTACTGTTTGTAGTCTGCACATATCTTGTACGACTTAAAAAAATGAAATCTAAGAATTTGATATATGGAGTAAAAAATTCTTTAATTTACTTAAGTACAAAAAATTGATAAACTATGCAGATATGTTAAGGAACATTCAAAACATTTCTAGGGAAAGTTGAACTTTAAAAATGCATGTGTCCGATAATTTATTAAAACTGCTGATTAAACCTAAACTATTATTAATTACACGTACTGTATTTAGACTTCAGAGAATTTAAGACAGAGTGCACACCATGACGCCATCACGTGACAGATATTAATAGAAGACTTATAAATTCCTTAATAATAAAGTAAATAAAACAACATACTCCAGAATTTAATACTTTCTTGGGGCAAAAAACAGCTGAAAAACATCTCCGATGCCAAAAACGCCATTTGTTCCGTCAGAGACAAAAATATTCAACACCTTTATACCTTTTGAAACCTTACCAATTTTTGCACATATATACATGTAACCCGATATATATTTCTTCAATCCCTGTGTACCTCTGGGTTCTATTAGCAATGTCCAAGTATCTAGAACGTAATCATTCGATCTGTACAAATATTATGTTTTAAATTACATGCATTAGGCTTACTGTTGTTCTTTTGCATTATACAAGAATATCAGCAGTCTCCTTTAAAGTCGTAATTTCGTAAGTTCTATGGTCGATACAATGACCTTGTCAGCAAATACAATCTATCATTAAGTCAAAAGCGTTTTTCATACTAAGATTTAGGCCATTATTTACACACCGAAATGTCGACGAATTTTTCCATTATTTCCCGATCATGACAAGGAGCACACGGCGGATGTGACCGGTCGGCAGGGGATGCTCACTCCTACATGACACCTGAACCCATCTCTGATGTTTTTAGAGATCCGTGTTTGCTCTGCTCCAAAATTTGTATTGTTTAATGGAATTTTGAGCTTGAATACTGTTCGTTATCTCCATACATTTTATTGTCACGAATGGCAGAGGTTTCACTTATCTGTTTGCCGTTTTAACCAAATTCTCGTTACACCATCATGTTCAATGCTCAAGTATTTGTTGAACAGCTATGACGTCATTAATCGGAGTTTTGAACCTAAGTAACAAATAAAGCAGAAGAAATAAAACTTCATTTTTATTCAAAGATGCATGTTCCTATTCATTTTAGCAGTTTCATTACTTCTTGCCAAACCAACATTAGACATTTTTTAGTTCTAATGATATTGTGATGTTGCCTTTTGAGACTTCATTTTTAAATGATTTCGTCAAGTCAGAAAATTTGAGCGTTTCGTTAACACAGCTGCATAGTGTATAAAGTCAAAATTATCATTTATGGTAAACTAAAGTACACTGTAGTTTACTATTGATATTTTCCTTAGGGATTTCAAAAGTATGTGATCATCAAAAACCTTTTTTTTCACACATTCAGCGAGGTATCTAGTAATAAACAAAAACTGCAGTTAGTTATGATGATTTTGACAATTTCTACAATTGAATAATTAATAACCCTTGAATCCTTTGGCATGCATTTATTTACGCAATTAAAAAAAGAATTCCATTCTTTTAGAAAGCTTTAACAAAGGTAACGACAACTTTTGTTATCTAAAAGGCTAAGGTTAGTAAAGAGAATGTTCTTATGTGCAGGAAATTATCTACTTATATAGCTGCACCTGAACATATGCATTTCTAAGTGTGGACATGGACGTCGAAAGATTACTGATCCTTACAATATTGAATTTTTTTCTTACTACAGGTGAGGGAGTTTGCTAATTCTTAAAAAACATAATTTAAGATGAAATATTTGTGCAAAATTGCCTTTAAAAAATTAGTTCATTTTGAATGTCAGCGCCAGCGGTAGGACTGAAGGCCGCTATGGTAAATATCTAATGTTAAGACTCAAAAGTCAGACGGTAAAGAAAAAAATCAGAAGTTTTTTTTTTTTTTTTTTCAATTAAATTCCAATGGTCTTTGCAAAACCACTTGAATAATGTTTTACTTCCTGTATCCTGTCAATGAAATAAGTTTGACACAATATAAACCAGAGCTATGGAATGAAGTGAAAGTTTTGCAGAAATTATTTAAGAAATGTCAAAAACAGAAAAAAAAAACCCAGATAAACTTAACCCCCCCCCCATGTATTTATTGACAAAGATTGAAAGAGATCTTTAACCTTCTAGAGACTTATCAATCTCAATTATCTGATATTATATTTCAGCATTGAACAGTGAAAAATTACAGTGATAAATGTTGATGTACAGTTTCAAATACCCAATGTTTGCTTTAACTCTGTGTGGATCAAACCATAGTGGGTCATTATTCAATTGATATTCAATATGGCTACATATCTTCCGTTGAAACAGTAATTTCAGAGCTAAAGAGTAACAAATACAGTTATCTAATATATAAAAGTTCATCTATTAGGAGACTTATTTTTATATTCATATGCAGCAGAATTTATTCAAAATCTTATAAAGGAGAAGAATACAATACAAATATGTGTCATAAAACACGGACCCATTGACATTTCAGAGGTGGGATCAGATGCCTGGAGGAGTTGGCATCCCCCTACGAAAAGTTCCGTCTACCTGATCAATACATAGGGCTCATGGCAGGTGTGACCGGTCAACAGGGGATGCTCACTCCTCTTAGGCACCTGATCCCACCTCTGGAATTTCCAGTGGTCTGTGTTTTATGCCTCTTCACATATTTGTATTTTTTTATAGATTTTTTGAGGTTGATCGCTGTTCTTTATCTTCACCTTCTACATTACAAACCTTGTATTCTGCAGTTTAATGATGATCAATACTGTGCTCCAGCTACATTTTCCCTAGCTGGAGGCTAGATGACATCCATTGCTCATGTTCAATACCTTTTATTTGTAAAATGAGATCCATATCACTCTTTTCTATTTAAGTATGTAGTTAGAATTAGTAAAAAGAGGAAGTTACAAATTAAACCTGTGTAGCTGAATGACATAGGATTATTAAAGTTCGTGCATTTTGATAGTTCAAACATACGTTAAATGGTTTTTGATGTTAGAGCTTTTGATCTAGAGTGGCAGATTAAGGAGCTGAAGAGTTGTTCGAATACCACTGCTGGACGTGAAGATAGGTCCTTCGGATGAGACTGTATAAACAGAGGTCCATTAAAGGCTGGTACTAAAAAGATCCGCCACTTTAAAATAACCCTGAGTGCCAAGTATGGGTCCAAATTTGTAGCGGCAAGTGGTGGTGTCTTAACATGATTAAAAACTTCTCGAAGGGATGTTCAACATACAAACCCCCTTTACTTGATCAATTCAGAAGGCTCACAGTCCATGTGACAGGGCAAAGAGGATCGTCACTCCTCATGTGCACCTGATATCCCCCCTCTGTTTCCTGATGTCCTTTTCTTTTGTCTTGATCATAAATTGTATTCTTTACAGGGTTTAAGATCATTTTTCGTTCTTTTATCTTTATCAAATACAAAGATTGTTATAAAAAGTTCGCGGACACGTTGATTTAAGAAAAAAATATAATCTACTTTGAAGAATGACTTATGTTAACTAAAATTTTTATCAATTTTTAATAAGTATAAACAAAAATTAGGTTTATATTCTAAGGTTTCAAAAATATACAAAAGATTCACTAGTCAACCAGTTGAAGTTTCTTAACGTAAGATGGTGTGAGAACCTGATTCCAAAGTTTTTAATCATTTTCACAGAAATATTTCAGATTTACAGATGTTTACATCGTTTTTCATAAAAAAATAATTTCTATAACAAAACATGCGTCTTTTCCCCCTTAGAATTTTTTGGTGGCGTAATGTGTAGGCGATATATATAGATACTCAGATAAAAAAAAACAAAAATAGGATCGGATGACTGGAATTTTAGACGATCTGTAGAGCAGGAGGTGGATATGTCACAAAAGAACTAGTCCCTAGTTTATGATAAGGTCTACCTGTTCTTTAAAGAGCATACATTTGAATTCACTGTACATTAAAACCTTTGACATCATGAACCTGACGTCTACTTATCTCTGTAAATGGTTGCAATATTAGGACACTTGGTCTGTAAGCTAGAGAATAAGAAATAAAAATTTCTACCCAAATTTTACTCAAATATCTTGCTTTCGCAACATTTACAGGTAAAGTAAAATAATAACCACAAACTGTGATACTCATTTTTTATATATAAGATTTTTGTTTTAGAATTATCAGTGGTACAGGACATGAAAAAAATAAAAAATAGTCAACGATAAGTTGTTCTCAGATCTTTGATTTTGTTTTCAAAATTACCTTTTTTATCTCAGGTATTTAAAAACACTCTTTGTTTATTTTCAGGGATTGGATTCGTGGAAGCTGACTGTCATAACAACTGGAAAAGTTTTAATCGAAATTGTTACCTATTCCTTAACCACAATCCAATGAACTGGCAAAGCTCTCGGGTACGTTTTTATCCGTTTTTTTTTCCTAAACTTTTCCCAAATTGAACAGTTAACAGTTCAAAACTGTAAATCAAAAAAAGAAGTTTTATCGTCGATTAGTTTATCGTTAAATATTGAATGAAAGAATGTTTCTTTGCCCTACTGATAAAAGTGCATCGGCTGTAGATGTTAATTTACAAATGTATTTTCTCATGGGTAATTAAAGCACAATAACGGTAGATTTTTAAATCGAATTTTTTAAATTAGATTATACTTTAATTTTTTCTTTTTTATTGTATTCAAATGCGTGTAGAGAATCAATGTGATATGTATTTTTGCTTTATTTAGGACTACTGCGCACATGCAGGTGCAAAGTTGGTAGAAATTGATTCTTCTGATGAGGATACTTTTATCTTACAAAACGCGAAGGATTTACATCTAAGTGGTCGTAAGTTTAAAGTAGTTAGCCTATATCTTTATAACGTACTTAATGCTTTCTGGTATAACAAAAAAAAGTTTTCCATTGCAAGGAAAGGATGGAAACGATTGGAATTTGCACCACTCGTACACAAGATGATGACCGAAGTAGATATCATGCGTACGGTCATCGAAAAATGTCACATGACCTGATCTGTTAAAATTTTTTGCTCACGATTTCAAACATTTCTCAATTTATCTACGTTACCTACGATGATGTGTAAGTATATAGGAATGTAATCTCTATGTCAGTTGTTGTTTATGGATTAAGGAAAATAAAACGACGGATCGTCATCAAAGTTTTGCAATATGATGTCCGCAACATAAATGATTTATATTTAGACTCTAAATTATCAAATTGATGGCCGTATAATATGCATGAAATCATGCTTTTCGGCAATTTTTCTGATTAACATGCAATACAGTTATCAGAATATTTTATTTTTTTAATCATGACTGCATCCAGAAGTAAAGAAGTACGAACGAAGTCATATATTTTCTCTTGTTTGAAAAGTGAAAATAGGTTTACAGTGTGTACTATGACAGTTACTTTATATCGATAATATTTCTATCACAGAATTTGAATTATCTTTTGAGTACGCGTGAGTACGTGAGAATTATCTTTTGGGTACGCGTGAGTACGTGAGAATTATCTTTTGAGTATGCGTGAGTACGTGAGAATTATCTTTTGGGTACGCGTGAGTACGTGAGAATTATCTTAGTGAGTAAACAGAACGGGATTTGGAAGGCGCAGGGGAGGATCTCGCTCAACTCATTTTGTGACACATTCGCTTTTCCATTTTAAATCTTCTATGCTTATGACATTTTTGATGACCGTAATATATAGTATGTCATCAACTTGTACAGAGTCATATATAATAAAATCAGCAAAGCTCCTGAAACAATTGTAGAGATTTTGTGGAATAAGTGCGCGAACAGACAATTTAGAAATAGAAAATGTAAATGATTATGCACGATTCCATTCAAACTAAGATTTAAACTTTGATTTTGCTGGTCATTGCTTCAGCGATTTCATTCTGATTTGGTGAAGAAACAGGATGTTGTGATGACAACTGGTTGTAAACACAGAAAAAATGTTGTGATAAATTGTAAATTCCTCTTTTACGCTTAAACCAGCATTTTTAAAACTCTTTATTACCTTATGAAGCAATGATTGCGATAAAAAAAATCAATTCTCATTTCTAAAAGATGAGTGTGACATTCATGTTTAAAAAAGAGTGTGACGATATCTTTCGAATATAAATATTGTCTTCGCATGTGAGTTAAGGCTAGGTATAGGCGTTTCTATACAAATGAGCTAATAAAAACGCATCAGAGGTATATTTATTATTCAGAGAAAGTGTTGATTTATTTTCTTAAGCATACTTAGTACCCACGATAAGTTAAAGCCAGTACACATTATAACGTCACTGATCTTACGTCCTGGAGGTAATAAAACACATCAATAAAACAGCTTTGGCGCAAGGGATTACCCTATTTATTTTTACATAAAAATTGTATAATACTAAGAAGAATATTCTATAGATTAATAAAACTGCTTAACAAATACTAGACATTTTATCATTTGATCGGAATTCGAGGAAACTTATACCCGGACAGTACATTTTTACCCTTATTCGACTAAAAACTTTACAAATAGAAATTATACAACTGAGCTGTTGATATATATTTGTACAGCAATGTCAGCAAAGTTTGGACTATTTTGCTTTTAAATATACCTTGTTTCAGTTAAATAAAATAGATCATGCCGTTGCGCCGATGCATTTTTGTTGATATCCATTATAATCTTGTGTAATGGGTAACAAGTATATATTAGACAATGTTTTAACTTTCTCTGTATAATAGATATAGTCCTTAGGAATTTTAATTAAATTATTTGCATAGAAATGCATATACCTATCCTTTACTCACCTGCGTTAATAAAAACTCTTTTATATGACTCGTATTCACGTTGTAGATACAATATTTTAAATTCGAACATTCAAAGAATATTTTGAATTTTAAATAACATTAAAATGAAATAGTCGATTGAGTTTTTGAACAAAATTTTCATTTTTGTAGACTGTTTTTGGTTGGGTGGCTCCGATGCCAGGCTCCCAGGAGTTTGGATGTGGTCAACATCACGAAAAATGTTAATGTATACCAACTGGGCACCAGGAGAGCCCAATCACTATCACTCTCATCAGGAGCACTGTCTGAATCTTCATTACTATACTCGCTCTAACGTGTACCTCTGGAATGACGAGTCGTGTGCAGAACCTTGCTATCCTATCTGTGAACAACCGTATGAAAAAGTTTTTAAATATTTAATCCAGTATATTATCTTTGATTACACAGAAGATCTTGAGTGCAATACTTTTAAATGAAAAGAAGAAATCCCCTGCTCTGTCCTTCAAGTCTGACTTGGATTTTATTAAAAATATTTTGATATGCAATAAGACCATTCAGTTTGACATAACGTTATTGCCAATAAACATTATGGACAACTGTCGAATGTACTGATCTCTAGAATAATAAGAAAGAAAGGTTGTGAGCAAAAGTTCGACTTATCTGAGACCTCACTTACTTTTATGTTAAAGCATAAGACATTCTTATGTAGGACTTAATGTACGTCCTTAGAAACCTACTAAGTCACACTAATAGCCTAACTTTATTTTTAAAAAAAAACTTAGCAGGCTTCATGTTATGAACCTTTAATTTTGAAACACCTAGGTAGCCATTATTGATGACGTCCACGTTCACTGTAAGTAATGTACTACAGTCCCTGAAACGTTCTACTTTCCCATTTTTCCGTTCGCTCACCGTTCGTTCACCGTTCGTTCAGCGTGCGTTCACCGTTCGTTCACCGTGCGTTCACCGTTCGCTCTCCGTTCACAGTTTTGCGTTCAGCGTTCACCGTGCGCTCGCGTTCACCGTTCACAAAGCGTTCAGCGTTCGCTCTTCGTTCGTTCACTTTGCGTTCACCTTGCGTTCAGCGTTCACTTATCGTTCAGTCTTTATTGTCATTCGGAACTCCGAAGTGAATGGACTTATCTTTTTTTAAGTAAGGATTTACAAATTTAATAATTAATATATCGTGATCAAAGAAAAATTATCTACAATATTTATTTTTATTATTCTAACTTAGCTGTTAGGTTATTTATTAAATTTATCTGGAAAATAAATGGTTTTATAAGTACATGTATGTACCTATGTTGAACGGTGCTGAAAAATTAAGTTTAAATACGGGCAATATACAGATGCTTCAAGCACTGCAACATTTTGTTGTTATGCTAAAGACGCCAAATCGTTAGTGGATAGATAATAAGCGAAGTCAATTAATTTACCAACTTCAACAGAAATACGAAAATATTTATTTCTAACACATTTTTTTTCTTCAAATAATACAGAAATACATGTTAGAACTAATTCTGAGGATCATAAACAGTACTGGAGCTATCCAGTTAATTAAATATCTTTAGAGGGAATTAAATTCATAGTGTGGTTTGAAAAAAAATTGTTTAAAATGTAATATATTATAGAATTTTTTTTCTACTTTACAAATATAAAGTCTTTAATTAGAGAGAGAGAGATGCCTTTATAACATGATTATCATTAATATAACCAAAGTGATTCTCCAGTAATGATATTTTTCACCGTAACTTTGTTTGCCATTAGATATAATTAAGAGCCCCCCCCCCCTTTCCCGTAAATCTGTTACTTAGTTAGTATTTCCAGTATATTTTAATTAACATTTAAATAGAAGTTAATGTGTTTTGTAGCACAAAAATTTCAGTCTCAAAACAAACATGCATCTAAACAAAGTCATTAAACAATAGTCAAAATATACATATACCGGCGGTGATATTTTAAAATGGCAGGGAGTAGGTTTCAAATTCAAGCGGCTTAATCATTCCAAGTGTTTATTCCCAATGTATTTTATTCATTTATTATTATTATTTTTTTTAGAAATGTTGGAATCAGATCTAAAAATGATAAGAAAAAATGTTAAAACTTCTTGGAAATACTTAACAGTTTGCCTTCGGTGTGACGAGACTTTCACACCTGCACAGTGTCCAATGATTTTGATTGACAGGTCAAGCACGTGGACTTCGTGTGAACTTGAAGCAGGAAAATAAAAACCGATTATGACTGTAACACAAATAGGTTTGGTAATAAAAATAGTTTTTTCATTGCCTGGTATATTAGAAAATAATGAAGAAATTTTATTTGATATAGGTACAAACATTTGAGAAAGGGGGGGTAAAACCGAATCTCTCTCTCTCTCTCTCTCTCTCTCTCTCATTTGTCTGTTTTATAAAAACTATGACAGCATATTACTTAAATATGAAGTTGTGAAAATTTAATATATAACAAATAATATGAATGCCTCTTTGTGTCATCTTGTCCGAGTATAATCACGGCCGGGAAACATGTAGAAGTCTGCTCAATAAATCATCATAAAAAATAAAACTGACTGATAAATATATTATTGCATTGAAATTTTAAAATACGGGTGTATTTATGCAATACGTCCTCATACCTTTGTAAAATATTTTTTTTTCTCATTATTTTACACGGAATCGTCTTGGCACGGAAATAAATGTATGGTTGTTACAACCGTTGTAATTCATTCTATAAGTCCGTAGTTTGCTTTTTAAATTCCACATTATTTGTAATGATTTTATATATCAAATAAGAATAAACATATTTATTTTACAACTAGATTAATTTTATCTTTTATACTACAGCGTTCGGTAACAATTACAATGTTTTACAGATATAAAAATCGTGTTATTAAAAAGTTGAATTTAAACGTCGTACATATGCGCAGAAAATATTGTTAGAAACTTAAATTAATAATTTTACTCAATGTGCATGTATCGTATTTCTTAGGATACTTTTCATTGATTTGTTTATTTATTTATTATTCATTTATTTTTTGGCACCAGGCATACATACAATAGAATAGTTTCAATGTAAGGAAAAGATCAGAGGCATTCCGAACAAATCGTTCATTTTGCGTTCACCGTTCGTTCACCGTTCACTTTGCGTTCGCGTTTGCGCTCCGTTCGCGTTCTGCGTTCGCTCACCGTTCACCGTTCACACATCGTTCACCAAGTTGCGTTCAGCGTTCACACTTCGTTCACTCACCGTTCGCTCTGCGTTCGTTCAGCGTTCGTTCACCGTTCGTTCAGCGTTCGCTCACCGTTCATGTGGGAAAGTAGAACGTTTCAGGGACTGTAGCGTGGACCTATTTAAAGTTTTAGATCAAAACAACCAAAGCTCGAACTACTTACTGCATTTGAGACCCAAAATGAGTTCATCGTATTGCCATGGCATATATATATATTTAAAAATTATCAGTAAAATATAAGACAAAACATCCATGCAATGACCATGTAGCATTTCTTTTCACCAAATAAGTAAAATATTTAAATATGGTTGCTATACATGTGTTTTATATATGTTTTAAGACATTTGATGTACAGTGTGCGTGCTAAAGACCAACAATTAATTACCTTTAAAAAAATTCAAATAAAATTAAATAGATTCAAAGAGAAACGGAAATTGATTTAAAGCTATATGAAGTCCCCATTCAAAAAGGTATTGCATGACGATTTTTGAAAGAATGCATATGCTACTAATATTATACAATTATGGACTCTTTCGGTGGTGAATATGGTTTGTTATTCACCAGAAAAATATCAATATTGACCGAGCTTCGCCTCGGTCAATATTGATATTTTTCTGGTGAATAACAAACCATATTCACCACCGAAAAAGTCCATAATTGTTTAATTATATAGTCCGGATTTGAAATAAATAAGACATGGAAGGCTGCATGACGATACCTTTTTTAACTGTTGTAGAAAAATTAAAAAAAAAAAACGTACAGATTATACAACTTATAACTTCCGTGATTTCATTTCGCTGTTTGTAAAACATCGAAATGTTTGGAACATAATCCTGCGATAGACTTGCCTAACATTTTTCCTGCTCAGATACACAGCTGGCTCCGGCCGTTGTAACCATATTATTTTTAACGTTGTGGTACTGATTGTGACGTCACAATGCCGCTGCACGCTCACTGACCCTCCAGTGAATACGACTTCAAATCCAGTGAATATGTAGTGTTATGAACCGTTTGCGTTTGTATAGATTATATAGGGGCTATTTATAGACTATATGATAAACGCATATATTTATTGGCATCAATAAGAATTTTAAGTTCTAATACTGTTTTTGTTTGTTATAGATTGTGGACATTGTTTTATTTTTTTTTTTAATTTCAGAAACCCTTGGATAAGATATACTGATAAACCTTCTGTTCCTACCACCACTACAACTTCTAGTACTACAACAACCACTGCAGCCCCAACTACCACAACAACCACTCCCCTCCCAACAACTACCACAACCACTCCCCTCCCACCAACCACCAAGCACTTACAAATGGTAACACTACCACAGAACCCACAGACTACTGATCATACAAGCTGTCAAAGCGGATGGATCAGATTTGGCTCAAGCTGCTACCTTTTCGCCACCGACATCTCATACGACTGGGTTGAATCAGGGGTAAAGAATAATATAGTTATGTAATAATTGAGGAATAATCAGCAGAGTTAGCATTATATAAGTATTCCAAATGAGCTTGAAAAACAAAGACCTATGTATACTACGTAATGGCTCCCCGGCATTGCATCATTGCCGATAAAAGTATAATTGTTATTCAGGTCAGTTGTAAATATTTCTTAAACGAGGAAAGTTATTGACAAACAAGTTGATGAAACAAGAATTTTAGCAGTCTTGTTTAAAGGCATCATTTCGTAAGTTATATGGTCGATACAATGACCTTGTCATCAAATACAATCTATCATTAAGTCATATGCTGACTGACGTTTTTAATACTAATTGTTAGACCATTATTTACATACTGAATTGTCGACGGTTTTTTCCGTTATTTACCGATCTTGACAAGGAGCACACGGCGGGTGTGACCAGTCGGCAGGGGATGCTCACTCCTCCATGGCACCTGATCCCACCTCTGATGTTTTTGGAGGTCCGTGTTTACTCTGCTCCAAAATTTGTATTGTTTTAATGGACTTTGAACTTGAATACTGTTCGTTATCTCCATATTTCATTGGTTATTTTTTCTCCTTCTTTAGCTAGTTTATCTTACTTGTCAGAAACTGTATGAATACAGTCTGAATATTTTGCTAACCTTTATATACATTATTATAGACGTTAATACAGCAACTACTTAATATTCTGTGTTAATGAATGTTTTTAATTTAAATTTCAGCACTTCTGCACACTGTTTGGTGCATCTTTGGCATCCATAGAAACTGACATTGAAAATAATTTTATAAGACAGCAGTTGCTTAGCATCGCAAAATCTGGTAAGTTAAAAAGTTTTTTAAAGAATAAAACAAATATTTTTGACTCATCATGAACTCCATAATTATATATTACTTATTCTGGATATTGTTACAAATTTAGTTGACTTTTGGGTTGGTGGTACAGACATTTTGACAGAAGGTGACTGGAAATGGATGACGTCACAAAAGCCAATAACGTATTTTGATTGGTATCCAGGAAGGCCTAACGATTTTCATCACAACGTTAACTGTCTTGAACTGCATCATAATTACAAATATCAATGGAATGATCAAGACTGTCGTGTGCTCAATCATTTTATTTGTGAAATGCCATAAGTTTTTATATATTTTACTTTCGAGCTTTTTGATAAAAATATGTTTTCAACTTCTGTTCAGCACAATTTTGTGATAAGATTCAATCCAACATCAGGTCTTTGTGCTTTCAGTCTTATTTATTATTATCTTTATTTTAATGATCTTGACTTTCAGATGATTTAGAATTTTCTTTTTCAGAAATACTTTCAACTCTCGTCCAATATTTGGATAAAAAGCAGAAGATACACCAATCTTAAGAATCTGTACAAAAAAGTATTATGTATGAACTAAGTGCATGAATAAATTTGTTTTATATATCAAGTTTTACAACAATAAGTGCTGATATATTGTTTCGTTTTTGAAATCAAATTATCACGTGAATAAGTGGATGATAGGCATTGCTTGTACGTTGAGTTGTGTACTGATTTTTTCCCGTTTTCCCGATCATGACAGGGAGTGCACTGCTGGTATGGCCGGTAGGTATGCTTGCTCCTCCATGGCACCTGATCCCACCTCTGATGTTTTTTGGAGGTCCGTGTTTACTCTATTCCTGATTTTTATTATTTCAATGGACTTTTGAACTTGATTACTGTTCGTTATCTACATATTTTATTCTACGAATATTAATGAAGTTATAGGAAGGGAATGTATTTATAAATCTTGAATATCTGAAAGTCAAGATCATTAAAAATTAAATATTTGCTTTATTTAATTTGTTATTTAATATTTAAAACATGGTTCTAAGTTTAATAACTCCTCATGTATCCTCATTTAGGCATTTTCTTTATCTAATTTCGAATGTAAATTGGTTTCCCTGATATTCACAATTTATGCATATCTATAAAGTAACAATTAATTTGGAATTTTCAGTTTTAGAGTTATGTATTTGAACCAGTTTTTACATAGTTATAATAATCCTGCTTACTACTATGAAATGATGAACACATGTCGTGGGTACCAAGTTTGTATTAAAATATAAGTTTTAACCTTTGGTGTATAATAAGTATAGACCGTCTGCGTTTTAATTATTTCATTTGCATAAAAACGTCAGGTCTATACTTATCTTTAACTCGCTTTTGTTTTTTTTTTTTAATTTGATATTGAATTAGAACATTACAACTATAGTTGTGGGGCCTCTTATGTCATCATAAATGTAGGGAATAGAACCATGATTACGAAATAAATTATTGTTGTAGAGTCCAGAACAGATGCTGAAGGGGTGGGGGTATTTTTCACAAGATGACAGCTTTCATCCCTTGTAGAGTTTATGTATATAGGTTTGGTGCGTTTTAAAACATGGTATTTCTTGTCTGCAATTGTCAGTATCTTTTATTGAAACAATGTTTTAAGTGTATTTAAAGTAAATTCAAAATCTAATTAATTTATTTTACATTTAACTATCCGGAAGACAAGTCCCTATGTTTGAATGTCAGATTTTATCTGTTTATAAATGCAATCTGATAAATGATATCTGTCTAAATATTTGTGGATTTTTTTCTGTGTTATGATAAATCGTGATTATGCTAGTTGTTCATGAATGGCCATCTTTCCATAAATTTTTATTTTAATGAAGTTATGAAGCAGGCGACATTTGCGTTCCTTGGAACACTCTATTTTTTTTTTTTTTTGTTAAGGACTGTCATTTTTGTCTTATAGTACAATATTCGACATAAAAAATTTTATTAAAGAAACCTTATATTTCATTTGTAAAACGATGTTATATATTTAATGAAAAAAAAAATAGGAGCTCACCAATCTCCTAATCTTCTGTATACCTTTGAAAATCTTTGATCATCCATATTGGCCCCAACTTACCTCAAAGACTCGCGTTTTCAACAACTTACTTCATGACGGCGTTTCCATATAAAAATATAAATAATCATGGCTTTGTCGTTCTTGAAAAGATTTTTTAGTCTTTTTTCCAACATATATTTATGTAAAAATTCGATCGCCAATTGTGGATACACCTACCCTTGGGGGTCATGAATTGTACAAAACTGAATTTTCATTTGTGAAGGAACTTTACTATCTGGCTCACTGGATCTTGAGAAAAAGAGTTTTACGATACCTACCCTTTTCTTTCTTTTTTCTTGAAAGAGGGCTTGGTCATTTTTTTTTTTTTACAAATTGGAATCGACTTCCCACAAGGGTGCTTTTTGGCAAGTTTAATTGAAATTGACAATGTGGTTTTGGAGAAGAAGACGAAAAATTAAAATGTTGACAGACTGACAGGAAGACGGACGGACATACAAACGACGGACGATCAGAAAAGCGCATGTCAACCTTAATGTAAGATGAGTCGAAATATTAACCCCACTCAAAACATTCCCATCCCCTCAAAAAAGAGAATAGATTTAGTATTCAGATCTTGGAAACGCTCTAACAGTCAAGTTTTTTTCTGCAATTGCCTATACTAAATGTCATATGCCATCACATGATTTGCTACATTTTAGAAATTATATTCATCATATTATCGTCATGCACCTTCGACTCACCTGAATTTCAAACTAAAAGACTTGCGCTTTTCATCTTAAAATTAAAGAACTTGAGTCGTTTTACACCAACTAACTGTATAGTTTCAAAATCAAAAATCCTAGGTCAGGGTATCTCTCTAGAATTGTAGGAATGGGTGTTTTCAATGACAAAAATGTCCCCAGAAATACCATAAAAGTTATTGTAATGTCTTATGAGGAACAACTTCGTTTTGGATTCCAATACAATTCGCTACTGGACGTCAATAGGAATAAAGACCACACAAAATATGCTTAAAATTACTTTGGCATGGATTGTGGTTTACTATTTAACAGTTACTATTGTTTGATCGGTTAGATTATACGGTAATGACTGGAATATTTTAGACGGACGGAAAACCAATGCACACACGGCCAATGACCCTACAATACACTACAAAGACTTCGCATCTTTACATGACTTCCAAAAATGTTTGGCTAACACGCAATCATATTTAAAGATGAAAATAAAAAAAAGATTGATGTTAACATAAGCAAGATGATAGGGGTTAACTTAACATATACGTATTATTGATGTTAAACGAAATTAAAAATCACTGATTATACATACAGGTATTCTGATGTTGATATTAAAAGGATGTTGGCGTTCCTCATTGACAACATTTATGTAGCCTTCGGAGACCAGGTGTATTAGCATACTGATGGACTTACGACAAAATAGTGCTCTTTTATTAGTCGACCTGTTTTATACTCCTGTGGCAAAGTTTATTTAAAATAAAACCTTCTACATGAGAAGGAAAAAAAATGGTTCTGGCATTCAACTAGACATTAAGATATATATATAATAAATTAACAAAAGCTACTTTCATTCATATGTCGACTCGATATTTCCCAGTTACTTTGAAATAAAAGACACCACAGAGTCTGCCACATCAGTTTCATATTTTGATGTTTTTTTTTTTTGACTATAGACGCTATGGGCCAACTATCAACTAAATTGTGTGACAAACGAGATGACTTCAACTTTTTTATTGTCAACTTTTGTAATTTATGTAGTAATATTCCGCTATCACTTGCATATGGTGTTTACATCTTCCAACTTATTCAAATTTAAACCAAGACGTATTAATCCCATTGGTAATTTTAAAAATATTACTCCAAAAATGAGTGATTTTTAGATGAATCAGTAGGTTTTGAATATAACTATCTGACTCCAATCAGAAAATAACATTTAAATAAATTTCACGCAAAACAGAATTTTACAGCGCATATTAAAAATATTCAAAGCTTGAACAATGTAATGCGTTACATTTTTAAACAGAAAGCACGTGTTTTTCTTTGGTAGAATATTACAAAATAAATCTACAGCTCTCATTTTTCTCACAAAACAAGAACAATCCATGTCGTTTGTCAGTCGTTAACGATTTTGCATTCAAGGGTGGCAAGAAAAAGAAAGCGATATTTTTTACGGGAACGAATATAACACAAGTAATTGAAAAAGTTCTCATGAATATAAAAATTAAACTTTTCAATGACAAAAAGTTTAAAAAGAAACCCATTATATCAAAATATTGTGTTTTTCTTATAGATTTGAAATATTTCATTTAGGGTGGTATCAAATGCTTAAAGGTTGTATGCTTAGCTGCGAATAAATGGATTACAAGTTCAACAAAAACGTCCGGAGTGTTCAAACGGTCAGTATGAATGTCAGATTGATAAATTTACTCAGTTAATTAATATTTTACGCAACATTTAGGAGGTTCAACATATTTGTCCAGTGGACGTTCTTGACACGTAATTGTTTTTGCTTTAATGTAATGCACAAATTTCATTTAGGAGTGATTTGATTATTTTACAATTATCTTAATCATAAACAGATCGAAGTCGCCCTTTTTGTTCATTCGTTTCATAACAAGTAATCTATAACTTTTTTTTACTCATATTTCAAGTACAAGAAGATAGCGATATGGCACCAGTCAAGCTAGTATCACTATTAGAAGCGTTACGTCAATACTTCCGTAGCGATATTGAAGCGTAACTATACGTCACCAACATCACGCGTTACCTGTCAATTCTCAAGAGCAGGCTGCTCCGATAACGATCAGTTTATAAACCGAGGCAAGCTACTGACAGATAATTTGATGCTACAGGGATTTCAACAATCTAGTTAAAAGTCAGCATTTCGTAAATTCTATGGTCGTTATAATGACCTTGTTAGCAAACATAACTCTTCATCTGGTTGTAGATTGGCCGAGTTGTTTCATACAGATTGTAAGGCCTTTGTTTTTATACTGTATTTGACTACAGAATTTCTGTCTACCTGATCAATACTAAGGGCTCATGGCTAGTGTGACCGGTCAACAGGTTGTGCTTTCTCCTCCTGGGCACCTGATCCCACCTCCGGATTTTCCAGGGGTCCTTGTTTTATGCCTCTTCACATTTTTGTATTTTTATAGATCTTTTGAGGTCGATCATTATTCATTATTTTCACTTTTTCATTGAAGACTCATTGAATTTTGATAAAAATCTGTTTTTAATATTGAATGAGGTGGGACATGAAGTATCTTGCACTTTATTTATATCCGGCCAGTGTAGACATGGGTGTTTACAGTTGGTCAGATTGCTCGCTCCCTGAGTGAACAATCCTCGGCGTTCACTTTGTGTGTTTTCCGTTACCTGTAATTCACTGATAGAGTCTTTGCTCTCACTATATTTGCTTCCATATTTGATCTTTTTTATCTCTATCCAATCACCTATTACTCTTGTAAGAGGAAATAAAAATGCATTTAATTCATTTAATTCATTTGATTCATGTCAAAAAGCCGGGACTTTAATTTATCATAGGGAATATTTGTATACATTGTTGAAAGACATCTTTGATTTTATTGATTTTGATAAAATTTTGTGATTTGGTAGAACATTTACTGAAACTTGCTATGTATATTGTTTATCAGGATATTTAAGTATTTTAGAAGTATGAATATATATAAAATTATGATCAATTAGACAGAAATAAAGTATTAAATTTTTCCAGAAGAAAGATTTCTGTACAGTGGAATTCATAGTATTACATGTATATACGAAATCAATATTGTACATGGCGAGAATATGTAATTTATAATATAACTATATATACTATATATATAATATATACTATATATAAATAGTTCTTCCATCGCAAATATTGTATTAAATTTTTCCAGAAGAAAGATTTCTGTACAGTGGAGTTCATAGTATTATATACGAAATCAATATTGTAATTTTGCTTTAATCAAAGCTTAAAAATAGTTCTTCCATCGCAAATATATACAACAGAAGTTTATAAACGTTCTTTTTTTCTGTTATTGAAATAGTTAATTACAATATTGCATCAAAGTTTTCCGACATCAAAGTTGCAGCTCATATTGCTTTAAAGTTTAAAAAGCTATTGTCATTTCAGACATATTTTGTTACACTTTCTGTAGGAATATCCTTCCTTTACTCTTTACTCTCATCCTAAACTCTAAATACTCGGTAAGAACTAGCATTTTTTGTCTTCCAGGGTTTTTAACTTTATTAATAGAAAACAAGTATAAGCCATATATCTTATTTAGGGGCCATGAAATTTGCAGATGTCCCCAATAATAATCCTTGGTTATATTAAACTAATTTGTCTTACACTAAATTAAAAAAAAACATATTTATTGTAAAGTTTACTGTTGTTGTTCCATTAAATTGATAACATGTTTAAATAAGCATTACAAAGAAGTAATTTAGTCTTTTATTGATTTCTTATGAAATCTTATTACACCAAATGGTTAAAGAATTATCCAATTATCTGGTGTTCCTCTCCTGGATTTCTAAGGAAAGAATTTAAGAAACGTTATACAATGTATTCATATGCATTGAATACACTATCAAATACAAGTTTATCGAATTCTGCTCTTCCTGTGGTCCGCCGGTCATGATTTAAACAAATGTTGTTGTTTTTTTTTTCTGAGAGTGCTTTGTTACAACGCACTTTGAAAAATTACGCACTTTGAAAAAATTTTTCAAAGTGCGTTAATTTTGGGACCACGTTAACGCACTTTGAAAAATTTTACTTTTTTTTCAAAGTGCGTTAATATCGACCATATTAACGCACTTTGAAAAAAAAATGTGCACGGCTTGGTTAATATTCTTGCAAATTTTAGGTATGAAAAATAATTATTTGAACCTAGTTTAATACTTTTTCAGTGATAATGTCACTTCAGGATCTGAGATATAGAGTTTTAAAGATTTTCAGGGGTTGTTTTCTTCCCGACAGTTCTCGTAAATGTTATAAAAGGGAAAAAGGTCTTATAGAGATAAAACATTAGCCACAATACTCATTCGACTGGAACTCTTAAATTTTTGATATCATAATAAGGCTAGATATATATCAAATTAAAAAAAAAATCTAAGATTCTGGTATATAATATTTGCCCTGTCCGTCCGTCTGTCTGTCTAGCTGTTTGTCTGTTTGTCCGCAAAAAAATTTAACCTTGTCCATAACTTTTGATTGGGCGGAACTTTGACTCTCATGTCCCACATGCGTATTTCTTGTGACCTTTCTTTGGGTAAGAACATATCTGAACTTTTAACCTTGACCTAGGAGTTTGAGCTAATTTGATTTTTCTGAAAATGAACATAAATAGACTTTCAGTTTTAAAAGAACTAAATTTCGATTAACTAAAGACTTCCTTATACATTGCTTTTTACTGTATTTAGAATGTTCCATTTTTTTCTTCAAATATGACCTTAAGATGTACGAGTTATGTAAATAAATATATCTGGGTAGGAATGATAAAGAGTTGAGCTGAGAGATCTTCAACCTGTCTTTTTTTCGTTGTCGATGAGGGTTGATCAATTCATCAGTTTTTAGACAGAAATACAACAAAACAAGGGCACCGCAAAGCGGAACATTCCTTCCCCAAAAGCATATTCTATAAATCAAGGCAGCATTTGACATCGACACTAACATACAATCGCGTTACTATATCCCCTCAAACGTTGCGAGGGGATAATAATGTTGCCTATTACTAAAATTTAAGTCCAAAATTTTTGTTTTATACATATTTTTTCAAAGTGCGTTAAGTGTGTACATGGTTAAAAATTACGATGTACACTCTTAACGCACTTTGAAAAAAATTTTCAAAGTGCGTTGATTTGGTCCCAAATTCACCGCACTTTGAAAAAATTTTTCAAAGTGCGTTGATTTGGTCCCAAAATTAACGCACTTTGAAAAAATTTTTCAAAGTGCGTAATTTTTTCAAAGTGCGTTGCCACAGTGCTTGCTTAAGAAGATAACTAATCATTCATCTGCTCTTCTTAAAAAATAATTCCTTTCTGCATATTCATCAGGTACAGCGCTCGCTCAGTGCTCGGAGGGTCGTGGGTTCGAACTCCATCCGCGATTGACCTAAGTCAATTTAAAAAAAAATAGGTAACAACTGTTCCTTCACCAAGCGCTCGGCACTTCGAAGTGAAAGTTGAGGGTCCTTCGAATGAGACCTCAAAAAGCCAAGGCCCCGTGTCAAGGCAGGCGTTGCCACGATAAAGATCTCTCACTGCTCAATGGTCCTATGTGCGAGTAAAGACCTGAATTTGAAGCCCTTCACTGGTTCATTGTGACGTCTCTATTTGAGTGAAAATTCTCGAACGTGACTTAAAATAACATACAATCAATCATATTCAGCGGTAATACTTGAATCCTTATTGGGGTCTTTTCTATGCCGTGGGACTATGATTTGGTTTCTAATCGAGGCCTCTGATTCAATAAAAAAAATCATTTTACCATTTACCATTTTACCATGCCTAATCATGGCCATAAACAAAATTCCTAAATAAGGCTTTTAAAGATTTCTTTCTCATCATTCTTGTGTAAGACTTTGATGTCCAGTCGTGGCCCCACTATATACCCGGGGCATGAGTTAAACATTTCTGAAATTGCATTTAATATGGAAGCCTTTTTATTAAGGAAGTGTTCACGTATAAAAACATCGTGGAATAGTACAATAGTGATACTGACTTCATTTCACAAATGAAAGAATTTGCTTTATTACAATGGTCATCATCCCAATGATATTGATATCTGTGATAGAGCTGCATGCAGTCCTGATCATGGTCATCATTGGGTTGTCCAGGAATCCAGTCATCATATCCTATAGGATCAAAATCTGGCATCCATCTCCATCCACCTTCGTTAATGGCATCAGTTGCTCCAACCCAAAAATCAGCTACAAAATGTCAGAATTGTTCTTCTCTAGACATGGAAAACATTCTTAATTTTCATCGATAGAATTCCTAATTTTTTTTTTTAAAAAAGTAGTTGTATTTCTGGCTTTTGTATATCTTCTTCTGCTAACCAATTTCGTGCTTCAAACATGTTAGTTTGCCTTAATTGTATAATGTTAAAAAACATTTTATAAAGTGTCAAAACCCGTATCTCCGTGTAAATTTAGTTGTTTTTGAAGAAACTGGTTTTCAGATTCATCGTTAATATTGGTGAGATAGGAATGCAGGCTTCTGCAATAGTCCTGTAAATGAAACAAAACAGGATGTAAAGTATTTTTACTTGTTCGTGTTAGGCTAATTAAAGTGTTTAAAATGTATTTAAGAGTATATCCCAGGTTAAGGACACTTAATGCATTATAAACTATAAAGTACCTTATGAACAGGTAAACTGTTCCAAGACAAATTAAACATCTATATATTTGGTATTTTTAAAATTCTTCCCTGTCAACATGATTTTCTACCAGAAGTTGAAGACAATAGGACGATTTGTCTTTGTAAGTGGTTTTAGAATGCACAAAATTTATACCTCAGCTGCCGTCCATTGCTTTCCATGTTGATAAAACAAATAACAGCTTGATTCGTAAGGGATCCATCCAACTGGACATTCACAGTAAACTTCTACAATGTAATGCAATGACGGTATAAAACTTTTGTCATTTTTTACAATTACCTTTGATTCTATCTTTGATAGGTGACTGACAAAAAAGATTCTCACCCGTCGTAAGAAATACTGCAAATATTGTTAGAATAAGAAATCTTTTCACCTCCATCGATAAACTGTATGCCATGTTTATGCTACGTTACCATAACAATAGATAAGGTCATACACATGAGGGAATTCCGTTTTTGACCCCAACTGTTTAGATAAGACAATGCTTTCCCAATTTGTGTAAATGTTTGTGTACTTATATAATAGTGATCAAATTGTATCTAAATGCTTTTTCAGTACATTCAAATATGTTAACTTGAAAATTGACTTGGAGTTAGGCGAAGGACAATGCTATCGTTCGCAGCTTTTTTTCACAATTCATGCAGAAGGCTTTACTTCTTAATATAATAGGGCAACAGTGTGACTGCTTGAATTCACATGAGTATAAAAAAGTGTTTTGAAAATTGCATTAATTTTGATGGTTTTGGCCTCACCCCTCAGGCCCCAGCAGAGCAGCGACCATGAACAACTGATGTAGTTTTCCTTTACACATATATGCAGTATGCAAGAATTAGTTGAAATTACTTTAGTGGTTTTAGATATAAAGCTGAAAATGTTCAAAGGTTATTAATGCACAACGCACGACGACGGACGAAAGCAAATAGCAATAATTCAGCTGGGTGACTCAGGTGAACTAAAAATAATAAAAAAAAAAAAAACAGAAAAGTTGCTTGTCACACGCAATGGATATGAGACATGAACTTAAGAATAGATATGGGAGTAGAGGGGTACGCCATTCTGAGTGTCAGAGAAGCAAGATATCATAAAACGGTGAAGATTACGAACAGTTATTAATCTAAAACAAAAATACAAACAATACAACTCTTTGAATAGGGCATAAAACATGGTCCGCCGTAAATTTCAGAGGCCGGATCAAGTGCCTATAAGGAGTAAGCATCCACTGTTGACTATTAACACCCGCCGTGCGCCCTATATATTGATCAGATAGACGGAATATTCCGTAGTCACATTTAGTATAAAAAGAGTCCTTACTATTGCTATGAAATATGGCAGTAAAAATACGACCCAGTGATGGGTTACATTTGCTAACAATGTCATTATAGCGATCATAGAATTTACGAAATGCTGACTTTAAACGAGGTTGTTGAAATTTCTGTAACATCAACTTATTTTTCAGTAGCTTTCCATTCAAAAACAGACGTAAATGTAACTAAAGCAAGCATGTACATGGGTTCCGTTACAAATTAAACTATAAAATATGTGTAACTTCTACTTGTGGAAAAAGAAACATTATTTTGTTAAATTGTTCTGAACACTTCCAGAACAAATAAATATTAAATGAATAAACGTTTCCACATTATCGTAAGAAAATGCACATTAAGTACGCCTATTAATTGTGTTTCTTACAATATTTTCTGCACATATATACTACGTTTAAATTAAACTGTTTAGTCACAAAATATTTATCGTTGTTAAACATTGTTATTGATACGAAACTCTGTAGTCAAAGTTAAGAAAATTACAAGGATACGTGTGTTTCCATACAGAGGCGATTCCATGTAAAATGAAAATAATAAAAAAATCACAATTAAAAATATTTTACAAACGTCTGTGGCTGTGTTACATAAATACACAGGTATTCTAAAATTTTCATGCAATTATATCTTTATGTGACATTTTTAGTTTTAACGATTTTTTTTTAGCAGACTTCTACTTTAGATACCCCCTCCCCATCATGACATGTGGACAAGAGGATACAAAGAGGCATTCATATTATTTGTTATAGATTAATATTTGAAATTCAGTAATTGATATTTTAGTAATATGCTGCCGTTACTTATATATAAACAGAAAATTATACAGAGAGAGAGAGAATTCCGTCTTAGCCACCCCCCACCCCCACCCCCTAATGCATGTATCTGTATCAAGCAAAGATTCCTAAGTTTTAATTTAAAAAAAAATATCAGGCAGTCAAAACAACAATTCTTTATCAACAAATCAATTTGCTTGGCAGTCATACCTAATCGTTTTTTTTTCCTGCTTCAAGTTCACACGAAGTCCACGTGCTTGTCCTGTCAATCAAAATCAGTTGACAATGTGCTGCTGTAAAAGTCTCGTCACGCCCAAGGCCAAGGAGTTTAAAACACTTTTATGATCATTTCTAGATCTGATTCAAAACATTGCTCAATCAATAAATAAATAAATGAAATGCATTGGACATAAACACTTGGAATAATTAAGCCGCATGAATTTGATCTAATTCAAATACGACCGTCGGCACGTGTATTTTAAACCACCATTGCTTAATGACTATCTTAGATGTATGAACATTTATAAACTGAAATTTTTATGTCACAATATGCATTGACCTCCTTTTTAATATGAACTAAAATATACTGAATACTGATGAAGTGGCAGATTCGGGAAGGGGGTGTGGGGTGTGTCTCTTAACTATATCGAATGGTAAATGTAAATATACATACAGATACATTGATGAAGGATTTTTTTCCTCTCTTACAATAGCGTAGACTTTGACTATATTTGTAAGGAAGAAAACCTTATACCTTCCAGCTCCACCAAAAACTTGCTGTTTTTATTATTTATATTTTAGTGTATTACAATTAAAATGAATAATTTTTTAACCACACCATCAATGTACACGACTCCGTAGATACTGTCCTTAATCCGTAATACCATCTATAATTCTCAGAAATGGTTATAACATGTACGTGTATTTCTATAGTAACAAAACGAGGGGAAAAAGTGTTAGAAATAAATATTTTAGTAATTATTCAGCAGTTGGTTAATAAAGCGACCTGGATTATTATCTCTCTATCAATGATTTTTGGTGTTTGTCATAATATCAAGATGTTGCAGCGCCAAATCCGTACATGTATGTTGCCATATTTAAATTTAATCTTGAAGCATCGTACTAAAAGAATATACTTCCAACAACATTTATTTTTAAAAATTAATTTAATAAATAATCAACAGTTAAGTTAAAAAATAATATAAATGATGGCAATAATTTTTTCCCAGAAAATAATTATACAACTGTACTTTAAACCAGTTAACCCTTACTTTCACGCTCTTTTTCCCTTTAAAAAGATAAATCCTTTCACTTTTGAGTTCCAAATGACAATGAAGACTGAACGATAAGTGAACTCTGAACCCAAGGTGAACGCAAGGTGAACGAACGCAGAGCGAACGGTGAACGCTTTGTGAGCGCACGATGAACGCTGAACGCAAAACTGTGAACGGAGAGCGAACGGTGAACGCATGCTGAACGAACGGTGAACGCACGCTTAACGAACGGTGAGTGAACGGAAAAATGGGAAAGTAGAACGTTTCAGGGACTGTAAATCCATCGATTTCCAAGACCTGGAAAAAAAAAACTGGCAGAAGTACAAGATCAAGATTGGACCTCAGGCCGATGTAGTTGTTCACTCAGTCAGGAGACAGCCTGCATAATTCAGTTCATTAAAACAGAAAGATGTTAAGGGAAATGGATTCATAACTCCTGTGAATAAGTCTACACATCTTTGGTCACCTCAATGGTTGTCATCACAATGAACAGCAAAGGTCTCATATGCGTAGATCTAAAAGATCTAAATGAATTCATTCTAAGCGAATGCCATCTTATGGAACAAAAGATTTTGTTGAAGTAATTCAAAACACATTTTTGGTACTAGATGTAAAACCGATTTCAGGATTTCTCGAAGGCGGAATGGATGGGGAATCTTTTTTTTCTTACAAGATATGATATGCTGCCGCTTGGCTCATACTACCCTCTGGCATTAATTTGAGATAATCTATATACCAAAGAATCAGGAATGAGATGTTAGACGGCAAAGATGGAGCTCTTGCCATACTGGATGATATCTTTGTTACTTGACAAGACGCAACATATTATGACTACAATTTATGCACATTAATTGAACACGCAACTGAGTACAACTTCAACCTAAACTTTGAGAAATGCAAAGAAATACAGTCTAGTGTATCTTATTATAACTACATAATAACAATAGACAGTTTCCATCAAGATCAAAGACGGTTCCATCGTTTCAAGAAATACCATCAATGAGTGACAAATAGGGAGAGAAACGGTTACCAGGTCTCGTGCAATTTCTCGATAAATTCATTCCAAGAATGAGAATTGATCTCCAAAAACTACTTAGATATTGTCAATAGAAATTCAAGCATCTTTTTAATATCAACTTCAGAGTACTTGTGTATACAATCAGAATGTTTTAACAAAATAATTCTGCAAATGACCAATGACAAGGCACGTAAAGAAGAAGTCTCAATAAGGCTTATCTGTGGTCCCCGTTTACTCGTCAAATTTCAAACATTTATTAAAAGCCTTAAAATTAAATTTTATTATCAACTAATGCCTTTATCATCTGAGTCATCATCTAAAGATGTCAAACAATAGATATAGGCAGCAGATAGAGTAGAGACATCACCATATACCAGTGAAGGGCTTCAAATTTAGACCTTTACTCGGCACTCAATACTTTAATTTTGAGCAATGAGAATTCTTTATCATGCCAAAGCCTACCGTGACACGGGGCCTTTATTTATAAGGTCTCATTCGAAGAACCCGCAACTTTCACTTCAAAGTTCTTTGCGAAGGAACAGTTCACAAACAAGTTGATAACACAAGAATATCAGCAGTCTCGTTTAAAGTCGTCATTTTGTAAGTTCTATGGTCAAAACAATAACCTTGTCAGCAAATACAATTTATCATTAGGTCAAATGCTAACTGACGTTGTTCATACTAATTTATAGGCCATTTTTTACACACTAAGTTGTCAACGGATTTTTCCGTTGTTCCCCAATCATGACAAGGAGCACACGGCGGGTGTGACCGGTCGGCAGGGGATGCTCACTCCTCCATGGCACTTGATCCCACCTCTGATGTCTTAGAGGTCCGTGTTTGCTCTGCTCCATAATTTGCATTATTTAATGGACTTTTGAGCTTGAATACCGTTCGTTATCTCCATATGTTTCATTGCAACCTATTTTTTTACTGACTTAGGTCTGTCGCGGCCGTGATTCGAACACACGACCTTCCAATCATGGAGCGAGCGCTCTACCGACTGAGCTACCGTG